AACTGCTAAGGGGAGAGGGCCTGTGTGGCTGATGTAGGGCCTGTGTGGCTGATGATGAAGGGCCTGTGAGGCTGATGATGTAGGGCCTGTGTGGCTGATGTAGGGCCTGTGTGGCTGATGTAGGACCTGTGTGGCTGATGTAGGGCCTGTGTGGCTGATGTGGGGCCTGTGTGGCTGATGTAGGGCCTGTGTGGCTGATGTAGGACCTGTGTGGCTGATGTGGGGCCTGTGTGGCTGATGTAGGACCTGTGTGGCTGATGTGGGGCCTGTGTGGCTGATGATGTAGGGCCTGTGTGGCTGATATAGGACCTGTGTGGCTGATGTAGGGCCTCTGTGGCTGATGTAGGACCTCTGTGGCTGATGATGTAGGGCCTGTGTGGCTGATGTGGGGCCTGTGTGGCTGATGTGGGGCATGTGTGGCTGATGTAGGGCCTGTGTGGCTGATGTAAGGCCTATGTGGCGAGGGCAGCAGAAAGGATGAGTCCATGAGGGACCAGGCACTCTACCTCCTGAACTCTGTGATGTGTGAAAAGATCCCATTTGTTCACCCTTGTTTTCCTCCTGGTTGATTATAGTACTCTGAGAGCAGGGACAATATTTAGATACTCATTGATCATTTAGTGAGTCATCTATTGATTTACTCAGTGAGCACCTGTTGAGTACCTACTGTGTGCCAGATGCCAAGGGTTTATGGATGAGCAGCTCTTTCTTTTGAAAATAATATTTTTACTTTTTTTTTGAGAATTTCATACATGTATACAATGTATTTTGACCTTATCCATCCTGTCGCTCCCTCTCCAACTCCCCCGGCCTCCCAACCCTTCTTCTTTCCAATTTAATGACCTCTTTTTAAAAAAGATTTTATTTATTTTTATTTTATGTCTATGAGTATTTGGCCTGCATGTATGTAAGCACACCATGTGTGTGCCTAGTGACTGCAGAGGCCAGAAGAGGGTGTTGGATCCCCTAGAACTGGAGTTAAGAATGGGTATTAGCCACCATGCGGGTGCTGAGAACCAAACTCAGGTCCTCTGGAAGAGCAGTAAATACTCTTAACCACTGAGCCATCTCTCTCCCCTGTGATGCTTAGTAAGCCACATGGATGGGAACTTGGCTAGGTGCTCTGTGCTCCCCTTAGGAGGGAGGAGAAGGGAAATAGAGCTCCCCTGTGGTCACCAGCTATGGTCACTACCCAGCAGGGGTTGGGATGGGGTGAGGTTCCGAGGTCATGTCACCAACTGGCCTGCCATAAAACCTCACCTTGGGGTGAGGATTTCTTCTTCATGATGCTCTGTAGCCATATCTGACATGAAGTGGGCAAGAAAGTACCAGATTCTAGGTGCCTCTTCTGGGGGCCGCCCTGCTTTCTGTTTCTTTTTTATTTTTAAAATTTTTTTATTATTATTAGTGTGGGGGGATGTGTATACCACAGCACACATGAGGAGGTCAGAGGACAACTTCATGGAGTTCGTTTTCTCCTTCCATTTTTATATGGGTTCCAGGGTTCAAACTCTGATCATCAGGCTTGGTGGCAAGTGCCTTTAGCTGCTGCACCATCTTACTGGCATTACTTTAAATGCATGTGTATGTTTTTGGTCAGTTACTTATGTGTATGCACGTGCATGTGTGGAGGTTAGAGGACAACCTCCTTTGAGACAGGATCTTTCATTGGCTGTCCAGTGAGCCCTAGGGATCTGCCTGTTTCCATCCCCCCAGCACTGGGATTAGAAAGGTGCATCACCACATCTGGCTTTTTTTTTTTTTTTTTTGGTCTTTTTGAGACAGGGTCTCTCTGCAGCCCCAGCTGTCCTGGAACTCACTACGTAGACCCAGCTGACCTTGAACTCACAGAGATCCACCTGCCTCTGCCTCCCGAGTGCTGGGATTAAAGGCATGCGCCACCACACCCGGCTCACATCTGGCTTTTTAATTAGGGACTGGGAGCTTTTTAAATAAGTGCTGGGGATCAAACTCAGGTCCTTGTGCTTGCAAAGCAAAGCAGTTTATCAACTGAGCTATTCTCCCAGCTCTTTCTATCTATATTCCCAACATTTTGAAGTATTTGCTGCATTAGTACTGTGCTGCAGGGCACTGCCAAGATACCCAAGGCAGAGATATGACTTAACTGCAAAGTGTGGGGATGGCATTAAGATGACCCTGAACTTGTGGCTTGGAGGACAGAGATGGAGGTGCCGGATTCTGCTATAGAGAGCAAGATCAAAAAAGGACATTAAAGGGAAAAAGCAGGAGTTTGGGAGCCAGAAGGAAATTAATTATGGAATGGGCAGGTGAACTAGGAGTTAGACATAGAGATTGAAGGGCTGAGGTGGTAACCAAATGGCAGTTAGAGATGTCTGAGGGGAAAGGGAGTGAAAGACCTTCAGGGAGCATGCCGTTACCATAAAACACATCCTACCCTCCTTGGTCTCCTCCTCACCTGGCTGGCTCAGGGACAAGTGATGCTTCTGCTCCATCCTGAGGAGGCAGCTGGCTCAACATGAAGGGAGAGCAGAGACCTCTGGGAAGGAATGGTCCTGTGTCCCATGGCTCCCTTTGAGCTGTCTCTCAGGTGGAGGGTCTCACCCCAGATCCTGGCCCATCCAGAGTTGGACTGGACCACTCTGGCTCTGAATTGCACAAGGGAGCTGCAGACTAACTTGATTTTGAGGGCCTGGGAGGGGCCTCTCTAGAAGGCTACAGCCTAAGTAGACATTCTTCCACGCTTCCAAGGCTAGTGAGGGAAGGCAGCTAACAAGAAGCCATCTTAGAAGTGTTCCCCCCACTTCTGGGCACATGGCCATGCTCTGGGGAACTTTGTTGAATGAATAAGTGAATGAGTGAGTGAACAGGTAAGTTCAGGCCTTCCTAAACGCATGAATGAAAGCTCAGGAATCCTTGGGCCTCACAGAAGGGTGCTGGGCAGGTGCTTGGCTCTCAGTCAGTGTTGAATAAGCAGTGGGTGAGCATGGGATAAGACTTGGAGGTTTCCTGAGCCCACAGAGTGGCCATAAGTCCTAAATAAATAAACATGATTTTTTTTCCCACAGTGAACTTGAAGGATAATGAGGTGAAATACTCTCCCTTTGGGAGCTTCAAAAACTCTTTCCTCTGTGGTTTTTCTTTCATTTTAGCTCCCCAGCCATCAAGTAGAGGCCTTCTTCCATTCCCCTGACCCAGAGCTCGGGGTCTGGGGGGCAGCATTGGCTCTGTCATTGTCCCAGATGGGAAGGACACAGAGGACTACTACTTTCCATTCTCACTCTCAGAGCTGGCTGCTTTGGATCCTTCTAGCAACTCAGGGCTTAAGTTGGAGCACTCCTTCCCCTCCCTCCCTCCCCTTTCCTCCTCTCTTTGCTGAAATGGATTTTGAGCCCATGGGGGCCCTGCCACATCTGTTCATTTCCTGACATGGCACTGACTCAGAATATTAGAATGCCACGGCCACAGCTGTTTCACCTCTGAGCATACACCCTGAGCATCTGTGTCTAGTGTGGGACAAGACCCAGAGGAAACAAAATTCCTTTCCCCAGCTCTGCCCTCAGACCCCCAGGCTCCTAAGATAGGAGACTGAAGAAAGCCTAGCACCACAGAGTGGCAGAGATTCAGGAGCTAAGAGCTTCTAGATCTTTCAGGGAGTTTGGAAGCAAGGCTCACAGGGGAACATGGAGACCTTGAGCTGCTGGCAGGACTCCCCAGTGTCATCCCACCAGTAGTCCCCTTCCACAGGTCTCACTGTGATGCTGGGACCATCCTTCTAGGATGAGGCATGTCACAGAGTCCTCACTTCTGGATTCTGTGAGTAGACAATTCTCGTCCTCCTTCCTGCTGCCCTCATCAGCCCAGGGCTGATGGAAGGTATGGAGTTGAGATGTAGTCACAGTTAACAGGATGTCATAGCCCTACTAGGAACTTGTGGCTGACAAGTAGGTTCAAATAATAAGACACCAGGCTACGCCCATCCATTCATCTCTGATGTATTCCCCCTTGTGTGTGTCTCTGGGGACTCTGATTATACAGGGTAAGGTGTGGTTAAGGCGCATGAGGTGGTGGCATATGTCATTTATCTCTCTTCGGTGCTTAGCCTCAGCGGGCCCAGTGTATCCAGCATGGGGCTACTGAAGCAGCAAGCAGAAGTCCCAGAGAAGTTATAGCATTGTATTAATACATTTGGTCCTGGTGGTTCAGGCATTAGTCTGTGATGGCTTGCTTGTCCTTGCTCGTCCAAATTTTGAGCTCATATTGACAGGGAGCTCCTACGTACCTATCCCAGAGCCAGGCTCAAGTGCATCCCCAGGAGACAGTTGATCTGCAGGGTGTCCTCTCTAGTTTCTAGCCCCCTCAAGACACCTTGTTCTGAGCAACTGGTGCTCCTTGGCACCTATCCTCTCCACATCCAGCAGAGAACATTGACTTTAGCTTCAGAATAATGACAGGTTTGGGGCTGAGCAGATGGCTTAGTCAGTAGAGTACCTATCACACAAACATGAGGCTCTAAATTCAAATGCCTAGAGTACATGTAAAAAACTAAGCTGGGCACAGTGGTACATGCCTGTAACCCTAGCACTAGGGGTGCAGAGACAGGCAGATCCCTGGGGCTCATTAGCCAGCCAGTCTAGCCAAATCAATGAGCTTCAGGTTCAGTGAGAGACCCTGTCTCAAAAAGCACCCGACATCAACTTCTGGGCCTTCACCCTCACCCGTGCAGGAAGCCACACACATGTACACCTACAAGTATGTCTACCACACATACCATACATATATGCTGGTACCGCCATACATACATACATATGCATACACACAAGCAATTTGAATCCAGATTTGTAATTTACTAGCTCTTGCCTCTTCAGACTTAGTTTCCTCATCTGTCAGTGGTGCAGAGGGTGTACGAATGAGGAATGAGGTTGTTACCTGGCTGGCATGTACTCAGTGTGCTTCTTCCCACTCATCACCAACAGAACTCTCTTGCCTGGGGCCCCCTCTGATGCTGATCTTTGTCTCAGGTGACAGGAATACCCTCGAAAGGCTTTGATGAGAAGGCATACCTGTCAGCCAAGCAGCTGAAGCCAGGAGAAGACCCATACCGGCAGCATGCTTTCAACCAGCTGGAAAGCGACAAGCTAAGCCCAGACCGACCCATCCGGGACACACGCCATTACAGGTGTGGCCTCCATTTTATGAACCGGGAGGGAAGGTTGAGAAAAAGCCAGTGCCATTCAGCTCATCTCCTTTCACTTATGAGTATTTTATTTTATTTTTCAATAACCTTTATTTATTTATTTATTTACTTATTTATTATTTTGTGTACCTGTGTGCGTGCACATGTATATGGGTACACACATGTCATGTGTATTTACAAATACAGAAGATGTCCTCAGTCTTGGTCCAGTAACTTTAACGTTCAATAGCCCTCACCCTCAACTGCTCTCCTGCCTCCTCTGTGCCTTCACTGGCCTACTTGGGGCCTGGAAAGGCAGAGGAAACCCCAACCTGGGGCCAGAAGGGTCCCTTAGCACCATAGTCAGGCATCCCAGAAAGAATAACCTGCCAGGGGACCATGAGAAAGTCCATGGGGTGAGCTGCGCAGCTGAAGAAGGATCTCCAGCTTTGAGCCCTGCAAACAGTGAGGCCTGTGACTATCACCCCTTGACATCCCTTTCCTCCTTGCCTCCTGGCCCCTGTCCTGCCTCCTCAGCCACTCCCAGCAGCCACTGCTGCCCAGTCTTTTTCTCTTCTGGTGGGTGGTGGGTGAGACCCTAGATCACGGTCAATGAGACTTTCACACCAGTCCCAGCTCAGAGTGACTGGACTGAGTGATCTTCTTCCTGGGTTCAGTTCCATGTGTCTTGTCTAGAGTGCTCAGAGCCACCTCTTTCCCTTGCCTGCTGTCACCTTTGGAAGCGTTCTCTTGCAGAGAAACCCTGCCCTTTGTGCCTGGCTCATCTGCCCTTCAGTCAGCATGGATGTTCCTGCCATTCTCGTTTCTCTCTTTTCTTTTTCTTGGGGAGAAAGGGACAGGACAAGGTTTCACTCAGTAGCCCAAGCATGAACTTGTAGCAGTCTTCCTGTCTCAGCCTCCCGTGTTGGAATTATAGGTACAAGCCACCACGCATGGCTCCTTTCCTGTTTTTGCACATGCTGTTTCCTCTACCTGAACACCCCCTACACCCCATCCATATCCTTTAAGCTGTGACTGTGTCCTCTGCTCCAGGAAGGTTCCTTACCAACCTTGTTTAGTTCCAGGGCACCCTCTGCACCATGTAGACATCTAGTGGAGGCTCCAGGGTTCTGCTGTAGCTGGTCCACTGCTCTGCCTGCTTGGTGCTTTGAGTGACAGACAAGCTATGTGGGATCCAGCCACACAGTCAGAGCTGGTTTGGGCCTCTATCTGATCCTTGTTTGAGGTTAAGTGAGAATGACTTCAGTTACTGACTGCACAAAGGACACAAATGTGAGATAAGCATGCAGGGGGTCCTGGTTCTCTTCCCATATCCCTCATGCAGGCATGCCTGAAGTCCAATGGCTTTGGCAGCCCTTGCAAGGTGAAATGGACAAAGGGCTAGGGAGGTCCAGACATTGGCTTCACTCTCCTGTTACCCCAAAACCATCAAGCCTTCAGAAGTCCTTCATATTGCCATAAAACAATAGTCCTGCTGCTGGGCAAGGCTGCCATCCGGTCTAATGGCCATTCTTAGCCTTGGAAGTCAGTCAGCCCAGGGGGAACTTCCCCTCTCACAACTGCAGGCAATGGTGGGTCCATGTAGTTCTATTTAGAGACCTTTAATGGGCAAAGTCATGGCCAACCTAGTCCCCAGGGTTTGGAGGATCTGTGACCTGACCTCATCCATGAACTGAGAGCTTGGCCTGGATCATCTCTGCCTACTCTCTCAACTCCCTCCTCCCCTCAGGCTTTTTCAGGAGTTTACTGAGAAGCTTAAAGGAAGAATGGATCTGGGGGTTATGCATATCCAAGGCAGTGGAGGGATGGTAAGGTGCCATGTGCTGCTGTTGGGCCCTCTCAGAGGGCAGAGGTGGATCAGGATGTGTATGTGCATGTGCATATTCACATGCCGAGGGAGCAAAAGAGGTGCCAGCCTGGTGGGGTCAGTGTGCCGGTGTGAACTTTGCCCTCTTGGGCTACAGTTTCCACTGGACCCCGTAATGCAGGCTAATTCCAGATCCGGGTCGCCATCTAAGAGAACTCCCTTCAAGGGAAACAAAGTATGGGAAACCATGTAAGACAAGCCTACTAAGATCATGAAAAAATTCCAACAAACACAGACATGGAACAACCTCTTCAGTGACTCCTAGCTCCTGGGAATTGAGTAGCCCCACCCTCACTTCTAGTCCACTCCACACATGTGTGGGAGCTCGCCTCTTTCATGGAGAAAAGGGCATTGCGATGGAGTTTCTCCTTAGACATAGGATGCCTAGGGAATAAGGACAAGGAGCTGGGGCCCTGGAGGTCAGTGTCTAAAGGCTAGGCACCAGGAGGAAGCTGGTTTTCAGCAAGCCAATCCCTGAACCCCCAGCCCTTTGGGAGCAGGCATTTGCCCAGGGTGAGTTCTGGGGGTGGAAGGAGGGTCGCTCCCCCACAACACTTTCAGGGAGAAATATTTTAAATCCTCTCAGGATTTCTCCCTGGGGGGGTCCCATGCTAGTGGGATTTCCCTTCTTTCTGACCCAGCTGCTCCGCAGGGCAGGAAATGGGCCTGGGAATTCTGACTGCGAGTGCTGTCAGTGGAGTGCATGCTGTAATGAAAAAGTAATCGCTGTTGGAATAGTCAGGGAGCTATTGTAATAAAGAACATCGCTTAGGAAAACCAGCGGAGGCGGCTGCTTTCCACGGGCCTGGAGGAGCCCAAATGAATGTCTTTGCAGAAGCGGCAGGGAGGAAGGCTGGCAGGAAGGAGTGCTGCTGCCTTGCTGAAGAGAGGGAGTCAGGGTCCAAAGATGGGGTATCTATAGGTGGGGGAGCCCAGGGTTTCTAGGCAGGAGCTGTCCTTGGTGTCTCCTGGGAGGCTGGTTTGTTCACAGCCTGCCCCTCCCTGGTGGCTATTGAAAGGCTGTTAGTGCTATAGAGAGAGGGAGGGATGTCCCTCCCACCTCCATCCTGCAGGCGGATTGGGAGGAATTCCTGGCCAGATCCTACCAGAGCTGGGAGAGGAAGGAAGAAGCACACGGCTGTCAGAAGGCAAAAGGAAGATCTCTCTCTCTCTCTCTCTCTCTCTCTCTCTCTCTCTCTCTCTCTATCAGCACACACTTTGTCTCATTGGCCTGCCCCATCAGTAGTACTTCTGTTTGGTTGCTGGCTGTACCTTGGGGCCTGTACATAGTTGGGATCCATCTCAAACAGGCAACAGGCTATCCATGTGGGTTCTGGTGCTCTGGGTCTTTGACAAAGAACATCCAGGCTTGGGAAAACCCCCCAGGTTTGGGAAGATTCCCTAACCTGCTGTATGTAGGTGTTGGGCCTATGTGGGATGAAGCATTGGTGTGGGAAGTAGGCTATATCCTGGCTTTGGGATTGCCTTCTCTGCCTCACAGAGGTATCCCAAGGGCAGCAAACTGGACATAGGACAGCACTGAGCCTCTGACTCCCCTGTCCTCTTCTCAGCTGCCCATCCTTGTCCTACTCCTTGGACTTGCCAGCCACCAGTGTCATCATCACCTTCCACAATGAGGCGCGTTCCACTCTCCTGCGCACAGTGAAGAGGTAAGCCCATCCCTGGGCCCTCATCTCAGTGGCTCTGTCCCTGAAACCTCAGGTGGTCTGTGAAACCTCTGACCAGGCGGGCATTGGAACTAGGGATGGTGGCCAAACAGTGAGCACTGGGAGGATGAGTCTTATCCTTCTGAGAAGCTGAGTCTGGTGAATCCTCTAGGAGACCCCAGAAGTTTACATCAGTCAAACCCAAGACCAGATGAGGATAAGGGCAAGATATGCAGCAGTCAAAAACAGAAGGAGGCAGGGACGGGCATGAGGCCTTAGGAGGGTAGATGTGAACCCAGCAGGTGCTTGTTGACAAATCAGAGAGAAATGCCCCTTCTGGCCTACTCTAAGCTTGGGCTAGCGTAGTCAAATTTAACCTTTATTCATCTCATTGACCCAGTGAACATAGATGAGACTAGAACTTGGAAAGGAGTGCCCAGTAGCATTCCATGGCCTGAAGGGGCTGGGACTTCCCTATTCCAGAGGAAGACAGGTGTGGAGATGCCACTAGAGAACACTCCCTCCTACCACTGGGCCTACAGGGGGCTCCCTGGCCTTCCAGGCAGGCAGCTCTGGTCCAGCTGTGCTGTCCCCAGGCGATTTAGGAATAAGCCTCAGGCAGCTCCAGCAGTTACCAATCCTGCCCTGACAACCCAAACAGGGCAGCCTCCCACCATTTGAAATGGTTCCCATGTCCCAAGGGCCCATTGCAGCAGCAGCAGCCAGGCCAGAGAGCCTTTTCCAGGGCCTAGGGAGTTTCAAACAGCTGCCTGTCACCCAGAGCTGAGGACTAGGAGAGCCCCCCACAGGGAGGGGGACGTGGGAGGTTAACTCCAGACTCCTTTACCTTCCCCACTGCTGCTCCAGTGTCCTGAACCGAACTCCTGCCAACTTGATCCAGGAGATCATTTTAGTGGATGACTTCAGTTCAGATCGTAAGTACTGCCTCCCCCATGTCCCATCCTGCCCCTGTTCTCCCAGGATGCTGAGACAAGCTCTCTGCGGCTGTCCTGACCCTTATATACTGACCCCTGCCAAGTGGGGAATCTTTGGTCTTTTCTAGGAAAGTGGAAAGAGTGGTGGACCTTTGGATGGAACACCCATGACATGACATTAAACACTGTATCAAGGGGTCTGGGGAGATGCCTCAGTGATGAAATGACCTGAGTTCACACCCAACACCTATGTGGAAAAAAAAAAGCATCGCAGTATGCATCTGTAACCCAGTGCTGGGGAGATGGGATAGGTGGACGGGGTGGAGTGCTCCCTGACCAGCCTAACCAAAACAGTGAGAGACCCTGTCTCAGAAAATAAGGTAGAGAGTGAATGAAGACGATGCCCAAGGTTGACCTCTGGTTGACCTTCACTCAGGCACACATGGGTAAATGCACTTGCACTCACATACACATGCAACTGAAACAACATCCACAGCACCCTTCATAATTACAACTGCCAAAGGAAGAGTCTCTCTACCATGGCCAAGTACTCTGTTGCCCCCTGGACTGGGGCAATACCACAGGCACTGGGGATCTGTGCAGGGCCAATAAAAGTGACCACAGCCTTCCCTCTTCCCCCATGCCGTGCCTGTGGGGGACTTCCATGGCAACCAAACCGCTATCCTCTGATTCCCACAACTGACAAGCTTGCCTTCTTCCCTCTGCCCTCAGCTGAAGACTGTCTGCTTCTGACTAGGATCCCTAAGGTCAAGTGCCTGCGTAATGACCGGCGGGAAGGTGAGTGCTGGACCTGTGTCCCGCCCTGGACCTGTCTCACTGTGATCTTCTCACCTCCCCACTCCTGTTGGGCACCTGTGTCTGTCTGCCTTTGTCATCTCTCCTGAGAAATGGGACACTGACAGCACCTTTCTGACAGACGAGTTTACTGTAAGGATAGACAAGAGGTTTGTGAGGAGGCCCTGAGAAAAACCAAAGGGGCCAGGCATGGTGACACACGCCTTAATCCCAGCACTTGGGAGGCAGAGGCAGGTGGATCTCTGTGAGAACAAGGTCAGTCTGGTCTACATAGTGAGTTTCAGGCCAGCTGGGCCTCATGATAGCGGTTGGTGCTTCATGAGACAGGTAAAGGGTACAAGGGAGGGCATAGCAGACATGCAAAGACAGCAGTTGGTAGCAGGCACGCACTGGTGCTAACAGTCCCTCTTCCTGAGGGCTGTGCCAGTCATTGGCTTTGCCGACATTCTCATACCTACTCATTCTCATACCTACTCATGACAATTGTTGTTCCTGTTCTGTCCACAGGGACCTATGTCAAGAGGTTTAGCAACTTGCCAAAGGTAATGAATAGAGGAGCCAGGATTCCAGTCTATGGGGTACACTCAAAGGCTGTCTCGTAGGCCCTCTCCACATAGTCTTTCTGTCATCGTGAGCACAGGGAGTAGACTGGGTAAACTGAGATGACAGAAGACCTCAAATGCTAGAAGAACCCTTGTAGACTTGATAAGGCAGAAAGCAGGCAGCAACAGAAGGTTTTAGAGTGAAAGGGATGTAAGAGATACTATTTAAGAGAGACCAGTCGGGCTGAGGAGCTGTAAGGATATTGATGAGTCAGACCCATCAAACTTTCATGAAAGTGGCCAAAGAGAAATGTCTTCCAAGCCATTGCATTGTAGAGGTCATCAGGCTTGGGAATTTGGTTCCCCTAGGGTTTTGCCAACAATGTGTAGAAATTTATGGTCAGATGCTTGCTGGATACCTTTTGAGTAGAAAGATGAGACTTAGACATTTTGGACTGATGGACAACTAGCTAGATAGAATCAAAGATGTGGCCAGCAAGGTCAGTCCAGGAAGAGGTCTCAGCTCTTGAGGTCCTTCCCTCCCTGCAGCTCATAGGATACTCGTGGATGCTCTGGCCACAGCAGGACCAGTTGGGCCTCTGCCATCCTGACCAGACAGGTCCCCAACCCTAGGCAGAATGACCAAAAGCAAGGCCCTTCTCTGCAGTTAGTGAATAGGGGATGGAGATCCTAACACATGTGGGTCTCCTGGCATCAGGTTCTCTCCTTGTTGTCTTGTTTGATGTGACAGGCTGAGTTATGATGTTTTGGTTTGGTTTTTGTTATTAAATTTTTTTGGTTTGTTTATTTTTATTTTTTATATGTGTAAGTGTTTTGCCTGCATGTATGGCCAGTAATACCTGCAAGGCCAGAAGAGGGCATTGGATTCCCTGAAACTGGAATTATGGATGGTTGTTAGCCATCATGTGGGTGCTGGGAGCTGAACCCAGGTCCTCTGCAAGAGCAAGCAGTGCTCTTAACTGCTGAACCATCTCCTGAGCCCCATTTGTTTATTTATTTTTATGTGTATGAGTGTTTTGGCTGCATGTAAGTGCACCATGTACGTGCAATGCCCACAGAGGCCAGAAGAGGGTGTTGTATCCCTTGGAACTGGAGTTACAGACTATTGTTAGCTGCTGTGTCAGTGCTGGGAATTGAACCCAGGACCTCTGCAAGAGCAGCCAGTGCTCTTAACCACTGAGCCATCTCTCCAGCCCAGTTATAATGTTTTTTGAACCTTGTAGATAAGAAAGAG